ATAAATCGCATCACACACTCACATAAATTGACTTTGATATATTACATTCATGCATACACTTCACTTGTCCTTTACTTACGATTTTGGATGTAAATTTCTGCTGATAAAACTCAAAACAATGTTGGCTTTCTTTTGAACATCAATGGCTGAAATGTCGCTCGCGAGATCGTCTTTGCCAAGCATTTACAATTTATCCATAAATTTTCACCCTCTTGAAAAATTCACAGTTTGGACAGCAGCATTCATGTCAATATATGAATTTGTAAAGATTTCAATAAATTCCATCTGATTGTAGTTTAGTTTCTATCATGCTTAAAAATTACTATGAAACGATCAAACATTCAATTCAGACAGTGAGCTTGACTATGTTAGTTCAGTTGGCTATCAGTCGAAATCCTTCAAACCAATCACAATAAAACAAAAATTCAAATGAACAAATTGTAAGATAGCAATTGGACTCCCTTATACGTCCGGCAACCCCTCTTATCAGTCGAGATCATTCCAGACTGTCCACTGATCAGGCCATTGACCAATAAAATAAGCGTTTTTAGCGTTCATAGACTCCTTTATCCGTCGAACCAGTCAAGCCACCCCCGCTTATCAGTCGGTTATTCCAGGTCAATAAAATTCAACTGATCTGGTTTCCAACGAGATATTCATTGGATTAGTCATTAGTTTTCAACTATAAATAAAGCTGGATTTTTATCACGAAGTAAATGCGATAATAAAGTAAGAATAATTGATGAATTTTTAATTAATATGAATAGGTAGTTTTTGAATTTCAAACATCAATCGCGCGACGGATTTGACATGCTCTAGATCCGCCTCTTCCGCTAAGTTAGTCGAAACGTCAGTCAACAACAACAAAAACAGTCCTTCTCAGGACTTTATTAACCTAGACGATCATCATTTACAAACATGTAACAATACTCCAGGGTTCAAAAGTAGTTAAGGTGCAGGTATGGTCCCGGAAGTAAACGGAGCTCTTACCCGTGTCAATTAGTTTCCAGTCCTAGGAAGTAAACAGGGCGCGCTCGTGTAAACCGGAAACGAACTTAACGGGGGAATGTTGAATGTGATAGGTTATCATAATAAAGGGAAATGAAACAATTGACAAGAAATATTATCTAATTTATTAAAGCATCCAATAAAATGTCTTAAAGCCCTCATTGTGTATTTCATTACGCGACTCACTATATAGTCGAACTATCGTCTTAAAAAAATGTTATTTGCGTTGTTCATTATTGCATTGCTTTTGGACGTTTTGAAAAAGACAAAAATATGGCACACATGTTTAATCAGATACATGCAGACACTGTTGAGTTTGAAGAAGTTAGTCACAGCGATCTTATCAATTTGATTTTCGTCGATTTTATAAGTAAAAAGATTCAAGAGCTACGAAGAGCTGAAAAGGATGAAAGTAAAGCAGATCCTTGGGCAGAGTATCAAAACGTTTTAGAAATGATGACTGAGGAAGATCGTTGGTTCAATTTTGCAGCTCGAGCAGTCGAAACAATTAATCGCGAACATGTCTGGAATGGAATATGTGAAGCCTTTAAGTTTTTAAAGAACTGTGGACCTTCGAACTCTCACAAGACATATTTTGACAAACTGTTTAGTGCTACTTGGGTAGAACTAATGTTAATTTACACGGAGACAAAATGTCCTCCTTTTTTTCAACATCTCTTTGACTATGCTGATTGTAGTTGTAAACTGAAATACAAATCAACTATGTAATTGCTTTGACAAAAAGAAAAAATAAAAATATAAATTTCAATGTTATTGCATTTTGACTTCAGTTGTTTTATGACCATGTCATTGTGAAAATGGGAATCGTTAGCAGCAAACGTGAAAATAGAAATGCAAAAAGGGATAAAAATCATAATCGTCATAAAATGTTTCGCTTGGGTATAAGTTTCGGACGCAACGATCTCAATCTTGAGGGTCATTTGCAAGCAGGATACACAAGTAAAACTGTTAAAAATTATGGACCCGCCGCAGTTAAACTTCCAACAGATAATGCGATAGAAGAAACACTGCCTGTAACTGAAAACATTGAACCCGTCGATAATGAGTAGTTAAAAGAAATTGACATCTAATTGCAAAATTATTATCACGAGAACATTGTCATGAGTAACGTTGACCAGTACTTAGCCGGTGTATACTTCAATCCAAAACGTCCTGGAAGCTACGGAGGTGTTGAACGTTTGTACCGCGATGTAAAGGCAGAAGGAATATATGACATTAGTCGTGAAAGAATTAAAGAATGGCTCATGCAACAAGACGCATACTCTTTGCATAAACCTATTCGAAGAAAGTTTGAAAGAAATCGTGTCGTAGTGAGTGGTATTGACGACCAGTGGCAATTGGATCTTGCAGACATGCAATCTTTGCAAAAGTATAATGATGGTTATCGCTATCTTCTTATCTGTATCGATGTTTTTTCCAAATATGCATGGGCTGTTCCATTAAAAAGAAAACAGGATCGTCGTTGGTAGAAGCTTTTAAAAAGATTTTGTCATCAGGGCGTAAACCGACACACATTCAAACGGATCAAGGCTCGGAGTTTTTTAATCGAGACTTTAAGAAACTTTTGGCAGAAGAAAACGTTACCTTATTTAATACATTTAACGAGACGAAGGCATCCATCGTTGAACGTTTGATACGTACACTGAAAACTAAAATGTGGCGCTACTTCACAGCAAACAAAACCATGAGATACATTGACATGCTTCCTGATCTACTGTATTCTTATAATCATAGCATGCATCGCAGCATTAAGGAAAAACCGATCAACGTTACAAGTGAAAATGAAGATAGAATTCGGCAAAATCTATACGGGATAGCAAATTAAATAAACCTATGCATGTAAAATATAAGTTTAATATAGGTAACCAAGTACGAATAAGTAAAATAAAACGAAGGTTTGAGAAGGGGTATTTACCGAATTTTTCAAAAGAAATTTTCACTGTAAGTCAAAAAATACCGCGCAATCCTCCTGTATACAGACTGAAAGATCATGAAGGGGACGAACTTCAAGGAACATTTTATGAAAAGAACTTCAAAAAGTCATCAAGAAAGACGATGTTTATGAGATTGAAAAATACTTAAGAAACGTGGTAGAGGGGCAATGTACAATATTTTGTAAAGTGGTCTGGCTACCCTAACAAATTTAATTCATGGGTACCAGCATCGGAAATACATATATAAAACGTAACCGTTTTCATGATTTTTTCATTTCACATTATACCTTAAAGATGAGCGGGACACACTTCTATCTGACATTACCTAGTAATGCATCTCTCTCTGTATTTCCTGAGAATAAGATTTCAGGTTATCGCGTAAAACTACCTCACGTTGTGAATTTAAATGGTAATTGGGAAGTAGGATTGTATTCAATTACATATCCTCATACATGGTACACGTTGAAAAAGGTTTGGATACACATATATATGTAACTCACAAACAGGTCTACCTACTCCGGTATTTGTCGACTATGGCTTGTATGAAAAGCCTTCGACCTAGTAAAATCAGTTAACGAGACTCTTGACAAAGAAGTAAAAGACAATATCAAATTGAGCTTTGACCCGCGAACAGAAAAATTAAAGTGCATGTAAGACAGGGTTACAAAATATCATTTAATCAACGAATGTCGGTCTTACTCGGCTTTGGCGGAAAAGACGTAGAGATTTTAAAACAACCGAAAGTCCTTATGCTTGTGATTTGCACGGATCCGTCATGATGTATGTATATTGCAACATTGTACAACCGCAAGTTGTTGGAGACGTCAATGTAAAATTACTAAAGGCAGTTGCTATTCAAGGAAAATATGGAGACATTGTTTCAAGAACATTCACTAATATCCAATACTTACCCGTGCAAACAAAATCTTTGAGGACATCGAAATTCTCTTAAGGGACGAGTTAGGAAATCCCATCGCATTTGAACGAGGGAAGTCGATAGTGACACTTCATTTCAGAAAACAATCCTTATCTTATTTTACATAAGAAAAAAATATGAGTAGAACAAACCGTTATGTTCAATATTATCTCGATCAGCAAAAAGGATACGGATCACAACCTGTCTTTAGAGGAGCATCCTGGCAAAAAGGTTATGGGCAGATGGGTTATGGTCTTGGTGGTTTATTTCGTAGATTGGCTAGAGCTGCAATACCTTTGGCAAAAACCGGCGCAAAAGCTCTAGGTAAAATTGCCCTCGATACAGGTGCAAACGTTTTGGGTGATGTTATCTCAGGGAAAAGTTTTAAAAAGTCTGCAAAATCTCGTGTTAATCAAGCAGCAAAGAAACAGGGAAAAAGCTGTAAACCGTATACAACAGTTTGCTCAAACAGGAAGAGGAAAACCCAGAAGAAACAGGCAAAAACAGCTAGAAAAGCATCGTCTTCTCATGTCATTTACCATTCAGCCAAGAGACATAAAGCAGCTAAAGAAGCAGAAGATATTTTCGGTTAAATATGGAGTTCGTTCATCCAAAATCAGCAGAATGTACAAAAGTGAACTTGATATATTTTCGTACCCCAACGCAAACCAGTTTGGAAAAGGGCGATGGATAGACCATCCACCTGTCTCTAGTGTATCTGAAAGCGGTCCGATTACCTTTTAGCGCCAGGTACAGAAGATTATGTTGACTTGTCTAACACAATGTTGATGGTCAGAGCAAAAGTAACGAAAGCTGACGGTGGAAATCTCGACGATGGCGCTAAAGTAGGACCGGTGAACAATTTCTTGCATAGTTTGTTTAAGCAAGTTGATGTGTTTTGAAAGGGAAGCTAGTAACCCAAGCGACAGGAACTTATCCTTATCGTGCATATATCGATACACTTTTGAATTATGGTCCATCAGCTAAACAATCCCAGCTGACAGCTGCGTTGTTTTACAAGGACGAAGCTTCAAAATGGAGGTTGCCGACCCAGCAAACGCCAGTCAAACAATGGCTTGAAAACACGAAGTAAGTTTAGTGCGAGAAGTGCAATTGTCGAAATGGGAGGCCCTATATTTTGTGATGTTTTCTTCGGTGAACGCCTCCTGCTTAGCTATGTTGATTTGAAAGTGGTATTGAACCGTACCAGTGACGAGTTTGCCCTAATGGCATCCGAGGACGATGCAGCATTTAAAGTGAAACTGGTGGATGTTTATCTAAAAGTTCGCAAAGTTAAAGTGAATCCTAGTAGAGCTATGTCTCACGAAGTTGCACTGAAAAAAAGCCCAGCCGTTTACCCTGTAAGGCGTGTGGACTGCAAAAGTTTCATCATTCCATCAGGAAACCCATCGTTGCAAAAAGATAATCTTTTCAACGGTTTGGTACCGAAATCACTTGTCGTCGGGCTTGTTGCAAGTGCTGCATTCAATGGTGCTTATAAATTAAACCCATTCAATTTCCAGCATTTCAACGTTTCATCCTTAGGCATTTCTGTAAACGGCGAATCTCTACCATCTAAACCTTTCAAGCTGTCGTTTGGTAACAATCCTAGATACATAGAAGCATTTCTATCACAATTTGCTGGCACTGGAAAAATGTTTTGAACGCCGGAAATGGAATTGATCGTGACGAGTTTCTAAAGGGTTTTGCTTTGTACTGTTTTGATTTGACGCCTGATATGTGTGGTACGGGAGAACATTTTAATACAGTGCAAAAAGGAAATCTTGCCATTGACATACAATTCTCAACAGCACCAACTAATGCTGTTAGTCTTGTGTGCTATGGAGAGTTTGAAAACGTGATCTTTATCGATTCTGAGAGGAATGTTGTCTATGACTACATTGGTTGAATGAACACCTCACAAATATCGTCTGCTTTGAGATCGGATCCTGTTACAAGCAAGAAATTTCTTGGTGTTTTTCCAGCCAATCGTTTACCTAAAGTAATCAAAAGTTATCCGAATGGGTTTATAGCAAACACCGATATCAGCGGAAAACCTGGAAGTCATTGGGTTGCATTTTACTTTCCGTCTGAACGAAAAGCCGAATTCTTCGACAGCTATGGCCAGTCGCCTGAGACTTATCATAAATTCTTTAGAGACTATTTGAAACATTATGATTGGGATTTTAATGCACGCAAATTACAAAGTATTTGGACCGATGTATGTGGACAATATTGTATATTTTACCTAAGCCAAAGAGTGCGAGGTCATAGTATGAGTAGAATTGTAAGCATGTTTGATGGTAATACTGTTGAAAACGATAAGAAGGTATCGAATTTTGTAAACAAACATTTTCAAATAGAAACTAGTGTAATCCCTAACGACGGAAATCAGTCAAGTACAAACTTATTTGTAAAAGATTGAAGTGTTTAATAATCAATAAAAAAGTTCTTTGTGTGACTTAATTGCTTGCATTTTGTATTTACATATTTTCATTGACAACAAGGAGGAAAATGATATCAACTGCGATTTTTATTTAAAGAAAAAATCCTTTACAAGACATATTAATAGCTTAACCAACGTAATTGAGTTTTCTTGTGTGTAGTGGAAGCTTTGGGCGTTATGAATTTCGTTTTGATGAACTAGGATAAACTGTTTCGTTTTCTTCACGTGGTGAAGTTTCCATTTGAGCCTCCTTCCATCTCATATCGTTCCTAACCAAATCTCGAGGAATGTTTATTTTGATAAAACACGAAAGAATTCTTTAGACCCTTTAGGATTGAAATTTTTCCTTCCTCTCACAGCATCGCTAATTAGATCTGTTATGTTTGATTGCGGAATGGTGACTCCCTCAAGTTTGACTTGTCCAGAACCGTCCCAAGATATTATACTTGGCTGTGTTCTAAGGCGCTGCAATATTGCTTTCGCCCGCTCACGCATAGTTTTTGGCACACTTTGTACAATGACAGAGTCAGCTAATGTCTGATTTTCGTTGTCACTTATTATGTTTTTTTCATTCCCATCAAGGGTGTCTACCACGCGTACCATGGGTATCTGATTATCTTTCTGTTGCTTCAATTTAAGGAATTGTTCAAAGTTTGCGTTAAAAAGTTTTTGTCTTTGATCGTCACTCATATCGTCTTGTTGAAGAATATGTGAGAGCTGCGAGTCTTTATTCATCATATTCATCATGATCGGACTAGTTTCAAGTTTTTGTTGTTTTTCGTATCTGTTAAATACATCTTCAGGTACAAGAATCATACGCTTGGCATGCTTCATTTTGTCAACAAACTACCTAGCACTGTCAAAACCGGAGGTAGTAACGCAGTCAGCAGATTTCCTCCTTTTTGATTTAAAAATTTTTTCTTCTTTGCTCGTGAGATTTTTTTGTTAGCTAGTGCTCTCAGATGTTTCTTGTACCTTGACAACACTCGCTTTTGACTGGCAGATACTGGAACAGTTCCTTTTAAAACATTGATAGCACATTCACATATGCACACAATAATGTCGGAGGGTCCATGCTCAATTATCACCTTTCGAACTTTTGGTTTAGATTTTGCGAGTACTTGCAAATACGGAAGATTGTTCCTAATTCGCTTAGACATAGTGCTTAAATGATTGTTGATGTCGATGATTATCGCTTTTGTACATACACAATGTGCTTTTCATCAGGCAGGATATTTGTTCTGACACGCATATTGTCAGGTGTTAATTGATGTAAATCGAGCATGAGATAACCGTATGCACGACTTGTAGCATCTTGAAATGACTCCAAAATGTAGTTGACATTTTTAGGTACATTTGACGGGCCAAAGTTGAAATACCTAGAAATCTCTCGGGTTTTAAAATGATCATATAATGGGAGTTAAGGCTTATCGTTCTTGATTGTTTACCCGGAGGGAATAAATTTTGCGTTAAATACATGACAGATATCCCTCGATGATGTGACCCACGGGTGAATAAATCAGACATTCGTGGATCATTAGAACATTCTGACATAAGATCGTCTACAATGACTAAAGAGTTTTGACATCCTTCCAAAATATCGGTCAAGTTCTCAGGGAATCCTTCGACGAAGCAAATGTTTTGAATTTTCGATTCCATTTCACCAAATTCACTTTGCCGTTCGCCATAACAGTAAATAATTTTATTTGGAACGGGATGAAAAAGTTCATTTAAATTATAAAGCATCGACCTAACCAGATAGCTTTTGCCCGACTGACCTTGACCACAAACATAAAAGTTGGCAGGTGTTCTAAAACGTACGTCCATTGTCTCGCAAATAAAAGCAAACATGTTCTGCTTTCACTTTTATAACCACTCGCTAGTAAACATTTTGACATATTCAAAGAAAGAAGGAATGATTCGACTGGCTTGAATGGGGCGGTATTTGTAAAATAATGACAAAGTGCATACATTAAGAATACATTGGACAATGAGCAATTTTTTTTAAATATTTTTCTAATTATCTACATCAATCAAACAACAAAATCTCTTTTCATTACACATCAATACTTCCCACTCTAACAAATATTTTTGACAGAGCATGCAAAAGCGCTTCAAAGGTTTACTTTAAAGGTCTCACAAGCATAGGACTGTTTTCAAATTTTTCATTCGTTTGTATTGTTTACAGCATAGCTATTTTTTACATTTCGATAAAATGAGTTTTTCGTTGCTTTTGGGGATTTTTTTGCGGTAGTAGGAGGAATCCACACTGAAAAATGTAAATTTATAAAAGTGTACCATTTGTTGGATTGTTCCAATTTAAACCTTAATGGTGTTCCTGTAAATGAAAGAGATGCAAGAGTGACAATAATCTCAGCCAGAAAGAACCATATCAGAAGTGTTGACGAGACATCTGTAATTCGTGCGTTCCCGAACATTCTGTACATAGATCTTCGTGAAAACCCACTGGTCTGTCCGGTAAACTTCACATTGTTAAACATTCTTCACGATCCATGTCCAATGTCAAAAACTGTTGTGCTATCGTTGTCGTCCGTCAACTCTTTAACGTCCATATTACCATCAGTTCAATTTATTCCCACAAATTTTTACATACATCCCTCTACGACCTCTTTGAAATTTACATCGTAACTGCCGTCGCCATCATTGTCGCTGTCTTCGTCGTTTTCATCGCCACAGTCATCACGGCCGTTACCGCCTTCCTTGTTACATTTACTGCCCTCCTCTTCAAATTGAGTTGGGGAAGGACAGGGAGATACTGGTATTTTGACGGTACAACTTCGTCGTCTTGTTCTCGCACCTTCAGTATCCTAGCCACGTATCCCTTTGGATCTCGTTGACGTCTCTTTCCCATGCTTACCCTTGTTTCGATAAAATCTTGAGGCTGAGATGAAAGAAATTAGTAGCATGTGTTAGGATTTTCATTCAATCGATAGAAAATGACACGTTAAAAGCATTTTCTTACGTCCTTTTCCATTGCCGGCAAGTTTTGGTGAGAGATAAACCGATTCCTTGTGTTTTCCTTTCTTTCCTCTGGCACTTCGCGCGGAATTGGAAAGTTGACATTCGTCTTGAGATTCATCCAAATGTCTACATTATTACATCAAAAACCAAAAACATATATCCCATGGATAACATGAAGTATAAAATGTGTAACACTCAGTAGGAATGCATTGACACAAGTAACAATGATGAAGCGACATAAGTTATTTTTCCCTCGGATTCGCCCATGCATAACGTGAACGGTCAATTAAACTGCCATAATACGTCTTGTTACGATAGTTTATATTGACGACCAAAACACCTGTAATATATACGTGAAATAAACGACATCCATGATGCTTCAGGTAGGACATTTTAGGAAGTGATCATTTTAACAGTAAAGTGAAAATGATGAAGTTTAACCAGAGTAATTATCAATCTGCCTGTAAAACGAAAGTTCGTTGTCGGAGTGATCAATGTCGTCAAGAAACTCCACATCGGATTGTCTTTCGGAAAAGACTTCTTCATCATTTTCGGAGTCGGTTATCGGTTATCATTAAATCAATCGACTTGCTAATTTCCTCCTCTTCAGACCCGCTTTCCATGTCCTTTTCTTGCACAATTTGATGAACGGATGTAAACAAAATATCATCCGTCACCGAATTGTGTGTGGGAGAAGTCTGATGGTGTGAACTTTCAAGTGTCGGCACCTTCGTCTATTATTATTTGTTAGTCAAAGACAACTTGATATTTTTTAATTTGGTTTCTATTTACAAGATTGCGCGACCATTTTGCTCTGACTATTTTACATTCTTCTATTACTACAGTTGATGGTTTTTCTACATAGTTATAAATCATTTCTTTTAACGAATCAAAGTTTAAAAGCAAGCTATTTTTAAAATTTAATGTAAAACCTCTTATTTTACAATGCTGTTTACCATTACTAACTGTATAAGCATTATTTTTAGGACCTCCAAAGACAAATTCAGTAGTGTACTCGCCTTCGTCACTCCATTAGTCAAATCCCACAAATAGTCTCCCAGAGGAGGCTTTTCTGAATCAGGCGTTGCAACAAAAACTACGGTGCTCATATAAAATATTATTATGCAATCGGTCTAACACGTTGTACAATTCTAAACGTACCCATGCAGTAGTAAAAATACCAATAAAAATATTTGTTGTTTTATTTTCCTTTTGAAACTCACAATGACGCTTGTA